ATGAGTTGTAGTGAGAGTTATGGTATAGATGGCAGGTTTCAATTGGTCAATTATGCCATTAGAGATGAATTTCAATGGGAGAGTTTCGGAAACAGCGTAATGGGTGGGAGAGTTAGAATATTAGAAAGACAGATTTTAATCTAGATGTTATGGTATTAGATAAACAAGTTTCAATGATAGAGTTGCAGTGTCGGAGAGTGAGGTTTCAATAGGTGAATATAGTATTGAAGAGGCAGATTTTATGAGAATGGTTACCGTCTAGGGAGACAAGTTTTAATGGGAGAGTTGCTGTATTGGAGAAACAGCTTTTATTGGCAGATTTTCAGTATTAGAAAGACAAATTTAGAAATTATTGGAAAGAAAATTGGGAAAGTTACAGTATTACAGTCATGGGCTTTAATAGGAGAATGGATGTAGTATTAGTTCTGAAGAAAAGTCAGACCAGACTCGAAACGTTAATTCTGTTTCTCTCTCCATGGATGCTGTCAGATTTGCTGAGTTTCTCTAGCATTCTCTGTGTTCATTACAGTACTAGGTTCAGGCATTACAGTGGGTGAGCCATAGTATTAGCGAGACAAATTAGTGAGACAAGTTAAGTATGAGAAAGAGACACATTTAAATGGCAATGTTACGTTATTAGTGAGTGTAGTTTCAATGGGATAGTTACAGGATTTCAGAATTAAGTTCATTTGGAGAATTACGGCATTACAGGGATTTCATTGGGAGAGTTACAGTAACAGAGCATTGGGTTTCAATGGGAGCATCACAGTATTAGAAAGATGTGCTCCAATGGCAGAGGTACATTTGTAGAAAGAGGTTTTATGATGTTTTATTAGGAGAATGACAATATCAGAGAGACCAGTTTCAATATGAGGGTTACAAAATTAGAAAGACAGTTTTCAATGGGAGATTTGCACTGTTAAGTGACGGATTTCAATGGGAAGGTTACAGTCTTTGTGTGACAGTGCTTGTTGTGGATTTTGAAGTGTTTGAACAACAGACCTAGATGGGAAGAGATAGTAGGAACTGCAGATGCTGGAGAATCTGAGACAACAAGGTGTAGAGCTGGATGAACACAGCAGGCCAAGCAGCATCATAGGAGCAGGAAGGCTGACGTTTCGGGCCTAGACCCTTGGGTCATCAGCCTTCCTGCTCCTATGATGCTGTTTGGCCTGCTGTGTTCATCCAGCTCTATGCCTTGTTGTCTCAGACCTAGATGGGAACATTGCTGTACTAGTATGAGAGGGAGGGATTCCAATGGACTGAACAAGCATTCTTTACATTTTCGTATTCCCAAATATGATCTTTTTTTGAGTTCAGGTCTGAATTTTATTTGCTTATTTCTATTTCTATTTAACATCTGCTTTCCATTGTGAATTTGACAGCTCTATGTTTTCATTTTTTTAATTTAACAACTAATTCCAATCTTGTGTGTAAGGCTGTGTTCAGTTATTCTGACTTTAAATTCCCAAACCAAGAACCTTAATCTTAATCCAATATGACAGATTTTTCACCCCAAATGCTTATTAGCCCATGAAAACTCATAGAAAGATGTGATTTCTGTGCAGTACATTTGGTTCAGTTGCTTGCATTCTCGCTTCTGATTCTTGTGAAGAGAGTACAAATTGAAGGTGCTGATTCGCAGTGACTGGATTGGAACTTCACAGTGAGTTGCATTTTTCTTCAAAAAGAAATATCTATGTAACATTCTTTATGACCTCAAGTTGTTCCAAAGTGACAAAACACAAGATAATCATTCACTCAAGCTACAAAGACCATTTGTTTCCAAGCCAAAGAATCAAAAATCTTCCTTTTTCAAAGAAATCCATCTTGAAATATGTTGGTGAAGGAAATAGTCACAGACCCATGACTTGAAATCTTCAAAACCTAGCCTGAGATCATTTTGTTATCAAAAGTACCATCTCTGCAAGTCAGACCTGGTTTTCTCTACCCATATGAACTTGGCATAACATAGGCATTAGTCATTGATGCCAACGCATGCTAAACAGAAGCAGAAGCAGAAGAGGTCAGAATCGGGGCAGTGCAAACACTGTGAAAGGTTTGAAGTCAGGTATTAGACAGCTGGGATCCAGTGAATCCCTAGAGAAGTAAAGGGATGTAGGAGTATACTTAAGGTGGAAATCAGGGGTCAAAATGGGGCATGGGATAGCTTTGGCAAATAAGGTTAAGGAGAATCCCAAGAGTTTTTACTAATACATTAAAGGCAAAAAAGTAACTAGGGAGAGAAAAGAGCCCCTTAAAGATCAACAAGGCTGTCAATGTGTGAAAGGGCAGGAGATGGGTAAGATACAAAACAAATATTTTGCGTCAGTATTTACTGTGGAGAAGGATGTGGGAACTAGGGAACTTGGGGAAATAAATAGTGATGTTTTGAAAAGTGTCCATTATTATAGACAAGGAGATGTTGGAGATCTTAAAACGCATTAAGCTAAATAAATTCCCGGGTGTAAATCTGATTAGGTGTTAAAGTCAGAATAACTGAACACAGCCTTACACACAAGATTGGAATTAGTTGTTAAATTAAAAAAATGAAAACATAGAGCTGTCAAATCATAGAGCTGTCCCACTCTGTGGGAAGCTAGGGAAATGATTGCTGGGCCCCTTGCTGAGATATTTGCATCATCGGCCATGGGTGAGGTGCCAGAAGACTGAAGGTTGGCTAACATGCTGCCATTATTTAAGAAAGGTGGTAAGGAAAGGCCAGGGGACTATAGATCAGTGAGCCTGACGTCAGTGGTAGGTAAGTTGTTACAGGGGATTTGGGGGGACAGGATTTCCATGCATTTGGAAAGGCAAGGACTGATTAGGAATACTCAGCATGTTTTTGCGTGTGGGAAATTGTGTTTGATTAACTTGATTGAGGTTTTGAAGAGGTGACAAGGAAGGTTGTTGAAGGCAGAGCAGTAGACATTGTCTATATGGACTTCAGCAAAGTGTTAGACAAGGTTCTGCATGGTACACTGGTTAGCAAGTTTTGATAACATGGGATCCAGTGGATCGAGCCAATTGGGTACAAAACTGGCTTCAAGGTGTGGGTCAGAGGGTGGTGGTAGAGGGTTACTCCTTGTAGAGGGTAGTGGATTGGGAGTTTGTACTCTGCTGCTACATTTGTTGGAGACTGGAGAGTGAAGTGGGAACACCTGCTGTGCCTACGAGGAGCTGCTGCTAATTGAGGCCTAGAGCCTGGGGCCTTGGGTGCTGCAGACTGCCTGTCTGGAGAGGATCATGCCTGGGACTCTCTATTGCTGCTGCTGCTTTTGGAAGCATGGTGGCCTACTTCTTTCCTCGTTTGGTGCGCGCAAGACTGGAGTTTGGAAACTGTAAACCTCTCCCCAGTCGGCATCTGAGAGGATTGCGCCCTGGAGCCTGGACTTTTTCTTCAGTCAGGGGATTCAGGCCTGGAGTTTAACAGCTTGGGACCTCTAACCTGTGGTTGGAGCCTGGACCCTCTCCTTATTCATCCTTTCCTGGCTGTGGTCTGCACAATCACCATTTTCAGCCAATGACTGCTGCCTTTGGGCATTGGGGACTATTGTTTGGGACCTGTGGGTAGGGTGGCAGGTCAGAACATGGCTCCCTGAGGGACTGAGCTGGCGTGCGGGACCTAAAAAGACAGTTTCTGTTTCCTTTTCCTGTTATTTGTGTGGGGGGGTGGTTGTGCTCCTGATGGGGGATGCGATGGCCGTCACTGGGCCCTCTAAAGCAACATCTGGGTCAGGGCCCAGTTGTTACTACATGGGAGAGGGGGGGGTTCAGTTGCATCGTCTGCGTCCCCCACCTCACAAGGGCCGCATTGCCCTTTACTCACTCGACAAAAAAGCTCAGCTGAAATGTTACACTCACTCCGAGATGATCCTGGAGACATACGCAGTAGCCTTGATGGGGATAGTCAGGTGCCCCCACCATTGTTGAAGATGTATGGGAGAGCGGTGTTCTTCCTGAAAACTGAGTACCTCGCCCTGGAGGGGGTTCTTACTGTCGGTGCAACGTTCTTCTCTGTCGACCTTCTGGAGGTATTTGCTCAGAGGGTCATTTTGTTGAATGTCCCGCTTTTTGTTCCATCAGAGCTCCTTCTCCCTCACCTCCGCTTTGGGAGGTGAGGTCTGGCATGGTGCCACTACTGCTCGGTCTGAGACACATTTACTCCTTCAGGTTTTCATCTGCCCTAGCCCACCGGGGGGAGGTCTTGGAGGGTACGTTCACCCTCCAGCACAAGAGCGAGGCATACGCCACCACCCCCTCTACCGCCCCACCACCCCACCCCGGCACACCCCCTCTGACCCTGCCTCAGCCCTTGCAGGAAGGAGCTGCCTTCGCCAGCACTGCTGTTACTGATACCAGTGAGGTGGGTGCACGCAGCCGGTGGTGGGGAATGGTGGTGGTGTGGGTTGAGCTTCTGCCGGGAATCTTGTCTATCTTGTTGGCCCCATTTTTCCCCAGCCGGAGATCTTGAGGGTCAAGGGGCGCATGCTCCAACTCACAGTTTGTTTCAGAGGCACGGGACTACAGTTCATAAACGTACATGTGCCTCCAATGGGACCTGAGTAGACAAGCTTCTTCGAAGAAGTGTCTGCTCGTCTTAGCTCCATTGATGAGGGTGAACTCATTCTTCTTGGGGTATATTAATTGCCTCTAGAGGGGAGGGACCATGGCAGCACCCAGAAGAGCTCAGCATCAGTGGGAAATAAGGGACTTGGTTAAGACTTTTGATTTGGTAGATGTCTGGCGAAATCTCCATCCCGATTCCATGGTCTTCACCTTTGTGAGGACTGGGATTGGAGCATCCAGAATTGGCTGCCTCTGCCTTTGCAGGGTGTGCGCCTCTTGTGTTCCAAAGGCCCCCATGTGGCTGGTGCCATCCCCTGATCATAACTTTGGGTGTGGGTGGATCTCATTCTATTCTGCACCGTGACAAGGTCGGCATATCGGCCCATTAACAACGCACCGCTGGAGGACAAACATTTCTGGGACTTATTTTGTCACTTCTGGACCAGCTGGAGAAGGAAGCGGGGGTCATCCCCTCTTTGAGGCTATGGTGGGATATGTGCAAGATTCACGGCTGTGTCTTCTGTCAGTGGTATGTGTAGGGGTCAACGAAGAGGCAGAAATCCAGGATCAAGGGAATGGAGAAAGAGGTGCTTGACCTGGAGTCATATCTTAGTCAGCCTGACATAGACCCAGCCCTGCGGGAGGCGTACGAAAAGAAGAAGGCCGTGCACTGGGACCTGTAACTCGTTGGGTCCCGAGGTGCGTACATGAGATCACCGGTCCAGTTCCTTTCGGACCTCAACTGCAGCTCCCCCTTTTCCTCTACTCGCTGGAAAAAATGCGCAGGGTCTGCCAATGGATCATTGTGCTGCTAGCCAACGACAGATCCCTTGTCTTGGATCCGGAGAGCATCAGGGCCTAAGTGAGAGACTATCATGAGGCTCTCTTCTGTCTAGATCCGTCCAGCAAGGAAGCTTGTAGGGTTCTGAGGGAGGACCTGCTGCAGGCCAGCCCAGAGGGTGCTGAGAGGCTCGATGTCCTCTTGAAGTTTGGAGGAGCTGACCAGCACCCTCAATCATCTTTCCAGAGGCATATCGCCGGGGCTGGACGTGCTGACTATGGAGTTCTTCAGGGAGTTCTGGGACGTCTTGCAGGAGGGCAGGGAACAACAGTCCTGGAGGGACGTATCGTAACTGGAGAGATGCCCCTTTCTTGGCAGAGGGCTGTCATCGCTCTGTTGCCTAAGAAGGGGATCTCTGTTTGTTAAAGAATTGGTATCCGGTCTCCCTCCTCATCATGGACTACAAGATCCTCGCCGGGGCGCTTTCAACTCACTTTGGCAAAGTGCTGGACCATATGACCCACCCAGACCAGTCCTACCCCGTCCCGAGCCGGAGCATCTACAACAACATCGTCTGGTCTGGGACGTGATCCGTTATTCCCAGGGGGGCTGGCCTGCCAAGCGCCTTTCTCTCCCTTGATCAGGAAAAGGTGTTCGACAGAGTGGATCACGAGTATCTGCTCGGAAATCTGCAAGCTTTTGGGTTCAGGACCCATTTTATCATCCGGATTTCACTTCTGTATGCTGCTGTGGAGTGCCTAGTGAAGGTTAACAGGTGCCTGAAGGCACCCCTATGCTTTGGGAGAGGAGCATGTCGGGTCTGCCTCCCATCCAGCCATCTGTAGGTGGAGCCATTCCTGCTCCTCTCGTGTAGGTGGTTGTTGGGTTTGGCTCTGCACAGGCCGGGTTTGCAGTCCTTTCAGTGTACGCTTACGACGTGCTCCTCCTGTTCACGGACCTGGTTGACCTGTGGAGGTAGTGAAAGTGCCAGGAGGTCTACTCTGCAGCATCCTCCACGGGGATCAACTGGAGTAAGTGTTGGGGACTTCTGGTCAGTCCATGGTAGATGGACCGGGATAGTTCCGGTTCTTCACATGGAGTACCACTTCTCTCCTCTACCTGACAGTCCATCTTTGCCATACCGAGGAATCCTGGCCAGCAAATTGGCACAAATTGGAAACCAAGGTTACCACTCACCTGGACGGGACTGCTCTGAAAGTTGTCCCAAAGGGCACAAGTGCTGGTCATAAACCAGCTGGTGGCCACCATATTGTGGTGGTACTGGCTGGCCACTTCGGTCCCTCCCCCTGCCTTTGTCGCTGCCAGCCAAAACAAAACTCGTTGAGCTTTTCTGGGACAAGAGACAACACTGGGTTGCTGCTGCGGTTCTGAGTCCGTCGCTTCGAGGGTTTGGTCAGGCATTGGTGTGCCTCCACACCCAGGTAATAACTTTCCGCTTTCAGACCCTGCAGCAATACCTTTATGTCAAGCCTCCTCCAAGGTAGTGCACTCTGGTGATGTATTTCTTACATCAGGTCCACAGCCTCTGTAACGACACGCAGTTCTTGTTCGTGGAGTGCTCCCAGCCTTGGGTCTTTTTCCAGGAATTGCCTGCCTTCTGTCTGGACCTGATTACAGCCTGGGATATGGTCCCCGGAGCTCCCTCCCTACGGGTGTGGTGGCTCTCTTCTGGGAGACGCTGCTCAGGAACAGATTCCTTGTTGAGCATGATTTGCAATGGCTGAGGGAGGAGAAAGCTCGGGATGAAGGGCTGACCAGAGTCAGGGACAGTCTGGATGGCAGAGGAGTGGGCTGACACAATCAGTTGTGAGGATGTCAATCCACCTCCGGTTCACGACTTGAGCCATCCGAAGCCTGATGGACCAGGCACTGGGTCCCAACACTTTGTGTGCACTGAAGGTGGTTCAGGTGTGTGGTGGGCTTCCAGACAAACTGACGCCTGTCCTGCTGGCGCTCGACATTGGCCCCACACCATGGACCCTCCCCATGATGTGCTGCCCCCCACAATCTGAGCTGTCTCAGGGTTATCCTTCTGGTGCCCTTTCAAACAGAATGGAGACGTTATTTGTGCGTGTTGATGCTGCACGCTCTCCACTGCCATGTCTTTGCCCATTGCCCCAGACATGCCTTGGCATGATGTCTTGTTCTCTGACGGTGGAGAACCCCAGTGGATGGTCCTCTACAAAGAGGTCTTCTCCTCTTACATCAGGGATCTAGGGTGGAGAGTGCAACTGGAGGCTGAGCAAGTTAGCCAGGTGCCAGACCATGTGTCCACACTATGGCCTGGAGGAGACTGTGTTTTATGTTTATGTTTATGTTGAGTGTGTCCAGTTGCAGCCCCTTTTTTAGTTTTTTGATGACCCCAGAAGAGGACTGTTTTATTTTCTCTTCATAGCAACTTTGGACCCCTTGAAAGAGACATGGGGGATGTTTTGTTTTAACCCTGTATTGTCCATGTCCCAGAATGCTTGATGCGGTCAGTGTAAGTGGATCTTTATTTTAATTTGCAATGGATAGAGGAACCTTTCCCTCTGAACTTTAAACCATTGTTGTCCATGTCCCAGGAATGTTCGATGGAAATGGAGCTCAGCCGGTTTGATTTCTAATTTCCTTTGCGTTTGACTGAGTCAAGGAATGTTTATTCCACATTTCAACCCCTTATTGTCCCTGTCCCAAGGTGAGGGCAGAGTCGAGGAAAGCCATTTTTTTGTTTGTTGATTTTTTTCTTTTCTTTCCCAGGGAGTCACTGGAACTTTATTTCAGTTCAAGGGTTGGGGCAACTTTTACTTTCCTGCTTAAAAAGAGTGAGCTTTACTCTGTTCTTAACCCGCTATTGTGTCAGTCCTAGGAGTGTCTGATGGGGGTGCTGTCGGGGATTGGGGAGGGGTTTCATTTTCTGTTTGCATCGTTTGTTTAAAGGAGTAGAGGGGTCGGACTGGAGACCTGTGACCAGTGGTGTACTACAAGGATCAGTGCTGGGTCCACCGCTTTTTGTCATTTATATCAATGATTTGGATGTGAATATCGGAGGCATGGTTAGTAAGTTTGCAGATAACATCAATATTGGAGTGCAGTGGACAGTGAAGAAGATTATCTTAGAGTACAATGGGACCTTGATCAGATGGGCCAATGGACCGAGGAGTGTCAGATGGAGTTTAATTTAGATAAATGTAAGGTGTTGCATGGAAAGGAAAACCAGGGCAGGACTTATACACTTAATGATAGGACTTTGGGGAGTATTATCGAATAAAGAGACTTAGGGGTGCAGATGAATAGTTCCTGGAAAGTGAAGTCGCAGGTAGACTGGGTGGTGAAGAAGGCATTTGGCACACTGCCTCCTTTGGTCAGACATTGGGTTGGGATGTCATGTTGGTGGGGCCACTTTTAGAATGCTGCATTCAATTCTGGTCTCTCTGCTATAGGAAAGATGCTGTTAAACTTGAAAGGGTGCAGAAAACATTTACAAGGATGTTGCTAGAACTGGAGGGTTTGAGCTATATGGAGATGCTGAATAGGCTGGAGCTATTTTCCCTGAAGCATCGGTGATTGAGAAGTGACCTTATAGTGGTTTATAAAATCACGAGGGGCACGGATAGGTCTTTTTCCCAGGATAGAGGAATCCAAAATTAGTAGGATTGATTTAAGGTGAGGGGGGAAAGATTTAAAAGGGACCTAAGGGGCAACTTTTTCATGCAGAGGGTGGTGTGTGTATGGAATGAGCTGGCAGAAGAAGTTGTGGAGGCTGGTACAATTACAACATTTAAAAGACTCCTGGATGGGTACATGAATAAGTAGGGTTTAGAGGGATATGGGCCAAATGCTGACAACTGGGACTAGATTAATTTAGGAAATCAGATCGGCACAGAAGAGTTGGACTCAAAGGTTTGTTTCTGTGCTGTATGACTCTATGACTCGAAGTCTGGATGATACAGAGATTAGGAGGGGTGAAGCTTTATGGGATTAAAACACAAGAATGAGAATTTTAATTTTGAGGTATTACTGGACCAGTGCAGATCAGTGAGAGTTTGGTGTGAATTTAGCCAGCAGAGTTTTGGAAAAGTCGAAATTCATGGTGAGTGGGATCAAAGAGATTGACCAGAACATCATTGGAATGGTCATTGTTAGAGGTTGTCAAAGTGTTGACCAGATAAACTGCAAATAAAAGAAAATAGAAGCACATAGTATTAAAGGAATCATAGTTAAGTTGGAATGCTATTAGCTAAAGCATAGAAGGCAGAGAGGAAATTTCCAAACACGTTGATTAAAAATGAGGCTTTTGTGACATAGTAGTAGTGTCCCTACCTCTGGGTCAGAAGACCTGGGTTTAAGTCTCACCTGCTCCAGAGGTGTGGAAAACATGTCTGTGCAGGTTGATTACAAACACCTAGAGACCACAGAGTAACAGTGTTCTGCCTGGTGAGAGATATACAATAGTTCCTCTAGGGGGTCAATATTTGGACCATGCTTTTCTTGTTACATATAAGTCACCTGGATCTGAGCATATGGGATACAATTTCAAATTTTGCAGTTTGTAGAAAACTTGGCAATGCAGTAAGGAGTGAACAGGATTATGGCAGACATCAGGAGGACGTAGATTGATGAAATGGGCAGACAAGAGGCAAATGTCTTTTAATGGTTTAATGCAGACAGGTTTGAAGTAATGAACTTTGGGTGAAACAACAGGGGGAAGCAATCCAAACTAAATGGTGCTACTTTGAGTGGGGTGCTTATTCATAAATTCTTTACAGATTGCAGAGGAAGTTGAGAAGGCAGTTAAGAGGGGATGCTCAACTTTGTACATAGAGGCATTGGACACAAAAACTAGAAAGTATAGTAATATTTTATAAATCACTATTTAGGCTTCAGTTGGAACATTGTGTACAATTCTGGGCACCATATTTCAGCACTGATGCCAAGGCCTTAGAGCAAGCACAGGTGAGGCCTTATCTGGATGATGGGATTGCAGAGGTTACGAGGAGAACTAATAGAAGCATTCAAAACCATAAGGGCTTGATAGAGCAAGTAGGGAGAAACTGTTTGCTCTGGCACATGAATTGATAACTAGAGATCATAGATTTTAAAAAAGTGGCAAAATAACTAGAGTCAAAGTGAGGAGAATGTTTCCACACACAGGATTGTCATCATCTGGAATTCACAGTCTGATAGGATTAGGGTTATGGTTAACCCTAGTGCAGTTGTACTCAAATTCCACAAGAACTTTCAAAAGGCAGTGTAATTGAACAGGAGTGAGTTCAAGATTGATGCAGAAAAAACTGGGCATGGGACTAACTTAAATGGCATTTTCAAAGAGGTCTAGATACAGGCATGACAGATTGAATGGTCATCTAAGATTCTATGATCCAAATATTAAAGAACATCAGAAGCAGCAGCAGGGGTAAGCCATGCAACTTCTATAGATTTTATCTATAATGTCCTGTCTTAACTCACTGCAGTTCTAGCTTGTGCATCATAAATTTCTTTCATAAAAACCGAAAGAACTGCGGATGCTGTAAATCAGGAACAAAGACAAAATTGCTGGAAAAGCTCAGCAGGTCTGGCAGCATCTGTCACCGGACCCGAAACGTTAACTCTGTTTTCTCCTTCACAGATG